AGCTTAATTTTAATTTCTTCCTTTGTTTCTCTTTGACTCTTCCGGTTACCTTATTGTATATGTTTGTCTGTTTCTGTTTTCTTTTGCTTTTCTAAACAAATACAGTTCCTAGAGAGACATTTTTAATTTTTCTTAAGAGTTTGGATTTATTATTGACTTTTTGAAAGTATTATTTGAAAGGCAAAGTTAAAACGAGGGAATGACAGATCTTTCATCCACTGATTTACCCGTCAGATGTCCTCAATGACCAGAGCTGGGACAGCCAAAGCCAGGAGGCAAGAGTTTCATCCGGGTCTCCCATGTGGGTGCTGGGCCATCTGCTGCAGCACTCCCAGGATTATCAGCAGAGAGCTGGATTGGAAATTGAACAACCAGGACTCAAATCAGTGCCCACGTAGGATGCCGGCATTGCCGACAGCAGCTGAATATGCTGCCCCACAATGCCAGCTCCTTATTGACTGTGATCGAGGCCTTTCTAGAAACACGACCCAGGATTATTAGTCCCTGTATGATAAGGGCTCCATGTCTGTGTATCTTTTCAGTGATTTATATCCACCACCCAAATAGAGGTAAACTGTGGGATTTACAGCCAGGGCCACCTTGAAATCTCAGAGTGACTGAAAAACATATTGCACAAGCCACATAAGTCCAAAGATTAATCATTCCTTAGTCCCCTCATTGGATGAAACAGATTTTGGGCAGTTAAACACATGCATCCTACTACTGGAAGCACATGTTGTTAAAAGGCAAAACCTCAGGGCTGTAGTAGGCTAAGCTTCCCGTATGGGTGCCAGTTCATGTCCAGCCATTTCATTTCTGGCATAGCTCCCTGCTAATGCACCTGGGAAAGTAGCACAGGATAGCCCAGTTCCGGATCACCCTGCAGCCACATGGGAATGCTGGAAGAGGCTCCTAGCTTTGGATTGACCCAGTTCTGGCCATTGTGGCCATTTGGGAAGTGAATCAGCAGATGGTAGAGGTGTGTGTGTGTGTGTGTGTCTGTCTGTCTGTCTGTGTTCCTCTGAATCAGCAGATGGAAGTGGTGTGTGTGTGTGTGTCTTCCTATTCTTGAGATAACAAATAAACCGTTCTTAGAAAAAAAAAAAAAAGGTAAAAGCTCCTTGCAGAGCAGATTCCTGAAATGCCTGCCTGTTTTGAGATGAGCCTTTCCTGGGCTTGCAAGTACCACAGCTGCCTTTGTCTGTCTTCCTGTGTAATGGCTAGCAGTGGCTGCACGTATAGATTTGAGGGTTTTTTCTTCACTACTAATTCTGAAGAGTTGAGAAGTAAACACTCAAGCAGATGAGTTAGTGGTGAAGACAAACTAGACAAAGCTTTTGCTTTGACCTGCGTGTAAAGCTTGGCTTCCTGTCTCTCTCCATTAAACTGAGTTTAGCAGCACTCCCTCTCCGCCTTTCTTCTCCACCTTTTTGTAGGTTGGGGCTGAGCAGATGAGGGGCAGGAACTGTTCTACCCTGCCAGGGGGCAATGGTGGGATGGGGCGAGCGAGGTTCTGCCTGGGCCTGACTTAGGGAAGAAGGCTCTGTATGGCTGGTGACCCCTGCTGCGCTGTTGTCAGAGGGACACAGTACGGAAACTTCCTCCCCAGAGGGAGAGGAATCTAATGCTTTCCCTAAATGATGAGCTTATTCCAATAACATTTTTTTCAATTATACCATCTTGCCACATTTTTGAAGTTAGTTTGATATCTATCTCTCTCTCTCTCTCTCTCTCTCTCTCTTGATCTCTCGCACTCTCTTTGGAGTGCTTTTGGGTTTAGAGAACAGAATTTCCATTTATCTCCTCACCCCTTGTCTGTTTACCATCTTGCAGTAGTATGGTCCATTTGTTACACTTGATGAGAGTGCTGTTACGTTGTTACTGCCTGAAGGCCATCATTTATCTTACAGTTCTTCCATTGCCACTTGCGTTCTGTGAGTTTTGACAAATGTGTGAAATGTAGCCTTAGTTTCAAGGTCATACAGAATGTCCTCACAGCCCTAATAGGGTTTACCCTGTCACCTCATTTTTGTCTTAATGCTTATTATTTAATGTATTAATATAAATGTCTTAATGCTTAATTATTTTACTACTATGACTTGAGATGTTTTTTCCTCATGTTTCTTTCTGAATTATTATTCACACTCAACCAAGCTATTTGATTTGTTCATGCTTGTGTCTGGCCACCGTACTGATTTTTCTTGTTAGTTTTACAAGTGTTAAATTGATTTCTCTTGTATTTTCTTACTGGTTTGACCACAATTTCTGAAACAGTGTTGAAGAACAGTAGTGTGAGGACATGTATGCCTCATTTCAGACTTGCAGCGCGCCTCCCCTGTGTCTCCATCACCTGCGTTTGCGGTTGACTTCTGACAAATGACCTTCAGTATATGCAGACATATCCTCTGGATTTATTGGAGTTTTGGGAATTTCTGTGAAAGTTTTCTTTTTTAGCCTATCAGTAAGATGAGTTAACACTAGTAAAATCGTTGTTCTTAAATCCTCCTTGCATCCCTAGAGTACTATTTAATTAATACCCTTCTGGATTCAAATAGAAAATATTTGACAAATGTTTTGTTAACATCATTTAAAATGACACAAGAAGTGACCAAAATAGCAGTCAGCATTTAAACTAGTGGTTAAAAAGAGAGGGGAAAAAAAATAGAAGCATAGTAATATAATAGAAGATAGTATATATCAAATAAAACATGTTTTCCTAATAAATATTGTTAGGGTCCAAAATCATCCCACCGTAGGAGAGCAGAGGACCAGATGTGGATGCAGTCAGCAAGCAGAGTTTATTGAGCTGGCTAGCCAGGGTCAAGCTCCTCACACGGACACACAGGACTGGTGGATGAAGCAAGACCCCGAGCCAGGGACAAGCCAGATTCTTATGGGCCAGTTTGGCCGTTACAGCAAAGCCCACGCCCACAAAAAACACTCCAATCATTTTAAAGCAAATGCAAAATACTCCTAACATGTCTGTGAAATACAGGGCATGGGGCTAGTCACTCTTACTCTTATCAGGGCCACTGACCCTTACAGCCTGAGCCTGGGTGTGGGGGACAAGTTATTTGTAAAAACTTATCCTTTTCACTTTAAATTCAATCTGCTTCTGGCTTATTCAAACTTTGATTACCTCTAACAATATGAAGGATTTTACTAACCCCTACTAAAAACAGTCTTAGGTATGGAGCGCCTCAGAATAAATCATGCAAAATAGTGCCGTTTATAAGAGACTAAAGTTAGCTGTCAGTTGTTGTTACTTTTTTAGCTTTCTCCCTCTTCATCTCAGGACACACTAGCTCTTAAGTTGTCTCATTTGACCCGAGTCTCTGTTTTCCCTTTCCCGTCTCTGGATGTACCTCTTCCTCAGCTGGCTGGTAGCAGACGAGATCTCTATCAGCTTGTTGCAGTATGATCAAATAAATGTGTTTGCATATAAAGAACTCTTCCCATCATTCCCAACAGTAATATCCAGCTGCTCCAAAAACTCAGTTGTCACGCAAAGATCTTTCTTTCTCTAACTTCTTTCAGTGCCTGGAAATCCACTCTGCATGTAAACTCCCTGTTCCTAGAACCATTTTTTTTTTTTTTTTTTGGCCACATTTCAGTTTAGCCGTACATTTTCTGGAAGGTCCCATTTGTAGCCAAAAATTGTTCCCCTGTGAGAACTTGGCAATCAAATGTAACCTGGTTTGCTTGCTACTCTGTTTTTTCTCAATCTTTGCTGTTTCTCTCATTCCCTTCCTCCCTTACCTAAATGACATGTTTTTTTTTTAAAAAAAAGATTTATTTATTTATTGGAAAGTCAGATATACAGAGAGGAGGACAGACAGAAAGATCGTCCATCCGATGATCCACTCCCCAAGTGAGCGCAACGGCCGATGCTATGCTGATCCAAAGCCAGGATCCAGGAACTTCTTCTAGGTCTCCCACACGGGTGCAGGGTCCCAAGGCTTTGGGCCGTCTTTGACTGCTTTCCCAGGCCACAAGCAGGGAGCTGGATGGGGAGAGGAGCTGCCGGGATTAGAACCGGCGCCCATATGGGATCCTGGCACGTTCAAGGCAAGGACTTTAGCCGCTAGGCCACGCCGCCAGGCCCCCTAAATGACACTTTAAAAAGTTTTATTTGGTAAAGAGATCATTTTTTTCCTTTGAACTTCATCTATTAGGGATTGCAGTAAAACTTAGGCTATTTCTTTAATATTCCATTCACCCCCAAATGCATGTGGGCCTTCCATTCTGGCCTTGGTCAGAAATCACACTGTGAAGCTGGCTGCCCTTCAGCTCCTGTCAGAAGTGCATTTAGGAAGCGTTGTGCTTGAGGGATCTTTGCTGAAGGGAGTACATTCAGTTCATCTGCTCTGTTTATTCTGCATTGCTTCTGTGTCAAGTTAGATCCCAGGCTACTTTCTTGGGCAATGGGGTATGTGCACTGGATTTTGTCAAGGATGGGTGACTAGGGGACCTTAATGTAAAATGGATTGCTGAGTTTGAAAACACTGCCAAGGACATTGGCATAATGTCATTTAATTTCCCCAGGAAAGCACACTGTGGCAAATATCTTTATGTCAGGAAAAAAAAAAAAAGAAGAAGAAAGAAAAGAAGAAATGATTTCCAAAAGATTTGTAGATCTCTTCATTTCTGATTATCAGAAACTTTATCTTTTGACTTTGGGAGATTCAGTGCCAAACTTTGGTATTGTGTGGAAGCATCTGTCAAAGTCCCTCCTAATTACTCGGGGTCTCTAAAAATGTTGACAGGAAGTGGCGATTATGAAACAACAGTGCATTAATTTTTTTCAAAATAACTCTTTTAATTGCCCTTTTCCACAGACATTTCAAAATACCTTCCTGTGTTGTATTAACTGTGCTAAATTTTTTTTTAAAGGAGCAGGGGATGGGTTTAAATGGAAAATGGAAAGAAAGCTTATTTGACGCATTGGTCTGGTTAAGCTGGTCCTAGTAAGCCTCTTATAACTGTTTCTCTTCCGATAGAAAACTCTGTGTGATGTGATCCTCATGGTCCAGGAGAGGAAGATTCCTGCACATCGCGTCGTCCTGGCCGCAGCCAGCCACTTCTTTAACTTAATGTTCACAAGTGAGTGTCTCAAGGCAAAACGGGCCTTTATTTTTTTTCTGTCAGAATGAGGTGCAGTTAGATTTAAAGCCCTTCAGGACTGAAGGCCAGTAGGACAGCAAAGAGCTTGAAAAGTGGTCCCATGGTGATTGACCGAAGGAAAAGAGCTCAGGGAGGAGACCCAGCTTGTGCTGAACACCACAGTGTTCTTGCTTGTTCCTCTTCCTCCTCCCTCCCACTCCTCCTTTTCCCCCTCTCCTTCCTCCCTTTCCTTTTTCTTTTTTCTTTTCTTTGAGATTGATTTATTTGAAAGGCAGAGTTACAGAGCAAGGAGAGGCAGAGAGAAATCTTCTGTCTACTGGTTCACTGCCCAAATGACTGCAACAGCCAGTACTGGGCAAGCCAGGAGCCTCATCTAGGTCTCCCACTTGGGGCCCAGGTACTTGCTTGGGGTGTCTCCTGCTGCTTTGCTAGACTCATAACAGGAAGCTGGATGGGAAGTGGAACAGCCAGGACTTGAACCTGCACCTGGATGGGGTGTTGATGCAGCAGGCAGAACCCTAACTTGCTGCATCAATATCCTCCAAAGTTTTCATCTTGAACTCAGATAGAAATACAAGAAGCAGGGGGCCCAGTGTGGTAGGCTAATGGCTAAAGTCCTCGCCTTGCATGGGCCAGGATCCCATATGGGCCCCGGTTCGTGTCCCAGCTGTTCCATTTCCCATCCAGTTCCCTGCTTGTGGCCTGGGACAACAGTAGAGGATGGCCCAAAGCCTTGGGACCCTGCACTCGCATGGGAGACCTGGAGGAAGCTCCTGGCTTCGGATTGGCTCAGCTCTGGCCACTGTGCCCACCTGGGCAGTGAACCAGCAGATAGAGGATCTTTCATATCTATCTCTCCTTCTCCGTATAAATCTGACTTTCCAATAAAAATAAATTAAACCTTAAAAAAAATACAGGAAGCAGATAAAAAATACATTTTGCCTAGCAAGTCAAATTTTAGAAAAATTAGATACAGAATATTGGATTCAAAGTCCATGTTTGAAATCCAGGGTTTTGTAGTTGATGCTGCTTTGTGAGCTTAACATGGTCGTGTGATGTTCCTGCCTCAAGTGTTCTCTCTGGTAATCCAGCCTCCTGCAAGGGCTTTTAGGAAGAACTATATGGGGTTTACAAGTTAAACATGAGATGTATATAAATGGGAATGTCCTTAAGTTCCTGTTACACTGGAGGCATTTGCTTGTGGCAGTATGAAAAGAGTGCTGGTAAAATATTTTAGGAATTGGGCAAAACTGAGTGCAATTTTGCGTCTTTGCTTACTTGGACTTTTCTAAAGAACTGCACTAATTCATTAATTTCTTGAATTTAATGTGCACCTCTAGTTTAGAGAGTTAGTTTGCATTGATTACAGAAATGGCGGGCTGGTTGGCATACTGTCATATCGCGAGAGCTGGGGCACTGTCACAGCCTGTCGTCCTCGGTTGAGGTATTGTCAGCGATAGCACTGACACTGTTCGTGTCCCTTGTCTTCGTTTTAGCAAACATGCTTGAGTCTAAGTCCTTTGAAGTGGAGCTCAAAGACGCTGAACCAGACATTATTGAACAACTCGTGGAGTTTGCTTATACTGCTAGGTGAGTGAAGAAGGGTCCTCCATGTTTCTGAGGAGCATGCTGGGATCTACCACAGCGAAGCCTTGCAAATTGGCGCAGTCCAAATTCCTCAAAATGGAAAGCTGAAAGGATAGAGGAGTTGAGAATCATCTGCCAGACAAATTCAAGTACTACAACACTTTTTTTTGCTTAACTTCAGTAGTAGGATACGTTCTACATACCATTATTTAGATGATAAGAAATTGTGGGCAGTAACACCTGCTTTGTTTGCAGAATTTCTGTGAATAGCAACAATGTTCAGTCCTTGCTGGATGCGGCAAACCAGTACCAGATTGAACCTGTGAAGAAAATGTGTGTTGATTTTTTGAAGGAGCAAGTTGATGCTTCAAATTGTCTTGGTAAGAAAAATCCACAATTTGTATTTTAATAAAAGAAAAAAAATTATTAATAATATCTGTTCATTTTAAAGATACTACCTAGTAGAATGTTTCCTAGTCATAGAATTTAAGAGAAAATTGGGGAAATACATATTTATCTGACAACCACAAGCTCATGAAATATTATAGCAACATTTTCCAATGCACAAAATGTCTTTTATAATGAGCTTTTCATGTATCTAGGATGAGGAGTGAGAATTACATCTAAGATAAATGTGAATAAGTTTACTTAAGCGTATATGATATGCTAAATCTCTGTTTGCCTGAGGTCACCCAGCTAGTAAGTGAAGAATCTGAGACTTCAATGCAATTATTCTTTTTTTTTTTAAAAAGATTTATTTATTTTTATTGGAAAGTCAGATTTACACAGAGAAGGAGAGACACAATGATCTTTGTGTGCTGGTTCACTCTCCCAGGTGACCACAGCAGCCATAGCAGAGCCGATCTGAAGCTAGGAGCCTCCTCTGGGTCTTCCATGTGGGTGCATGGTCCCAAGGCTTTGAGGTGTGCTCTGCTGCTTTCCCAGGCCACAAGCATGGAGCTGGAAGGGAAGTAGAGCAGCTGGAATATGAAGCAGCACCCATATAAGCATGCAAGGTGAGGACTTTAGCTACTAGGCTACTGTGCCTGGCCCAAATTCAAGTATTGCAATCCTTAACTGCTGTACCAGGTTGCCTTGCCACACTGATAAATTTGCTAACTTTATATACTAGAAAATGTGAACAGCATAGATCATAAAATGTTAATTGAGCAACTCTGCCACATTATTTTAAGGCTGTAAAGTATTTGGAGGAGGGCATTGTGGTACAGCAGGTTAAACTGTCACTTGATACTTCCTATTTCAGCATGCTGAGTCGAGTCCCAGATGTTCTGTGCCCAACTGTAGGGTACTGGATCAGAAGCAGAGAAGTTAGGGACGCAACCTTGCACCCATATGGGTTGCTGACATTGTAGAAAGAGGCCTTTAACTCACTGTGCCCAATGCTGGACCCATAAATAAATCTGTTTTAAGATAAATATTTTGTGGGGCCCAGTGCAGTAGCCTAGTGAACCAGCAGACAGAAGATCTTTCTGTCTCTCCTTATCTTTGTAAATCTGACTTTCCAATAAAAATAAATAATCTTTAAAATCTTTTTTTTTAAAAAAAGATATTTTGTATTTGACAGAGAAGCAGAGAAAATCAGAAATTTTCAAAATCTGGAGTGCTTTATCACTCCAGATTGAGAATCCTGAGTGATACATGAATGCACAGTCAAATCTTTGTGTAAAAAAAAAAAAAGGCAGAGTGACAGAGAGAAATAAGAAGCAGAGTGGTTCAGTCAGCTGGTTCACTCCCCAGATGCCTTCAATAGCCAGGGATGGGCCAGACCAAAGCCAGGAGCTTGGAGCTTCATCTAGGTCTCCCTTGTGCTCCCAGGGCCCTGAGTACTTGAGCTATCACCTGCCCCCAGTGTATCAACAGAGAGCTGGCGTGGATGCAGAGAGGCAAGAGTTCCATTCTAGGCACCCCAGTATGCGATGCACATTTCCCAGGCTACAGCTAAACTTGCTGTGCTACAACGCCCAGCCCCAGGTCTTAGCACTTTCACCTACCCTTGGCATGAGTCCCCCGAGAGAAGGTAAACAAGGTGTGATTATTAGGAAAGCAGGGAGGAAAGAGAAGTGGAATTGCCCAGGGTAGAGGCCTTGTATCCCTGTGTATGCTAAGATTTCACCTGGCAGACGGGGAAAGGAACAGTGCAGATAGCAAGAAAGGAGATGCTGAGCAGAAAGGCGCCCAGAGGTGGTTGGGACCTTTCCTAAGACCCACTGTCTCTTCTAGGCCACCCTTTTTCTGGATCTTTGAATATTCCTTCCAGCCCATCCCCCTCCCCCCCCCCATGTACTGACAGACAGATCTTGGAAGGCGAAGGGAAAGAAAGCAGAATAGATCTCAAGGGAGGATCAAGTCCAGGTGAAGGGGCTAAAAATAAGGCTTGGCCTACTACCCAGAAAAGGAAGAGGGAGACTGGTATGCCAGTGAACACACTGATGGAAGTTTTAAGCCATAACTCAAGAGAAGGAGATCTCTATATTAGGAAGTGAACAACCAGCCTTTAGCCCCATTGATGTAATAGAGACACTCTAGCATTAATCCTTCTTAACTCTCTAGGCCATAGTTTGAGACTCCATTTATCCATACAATTCATATTAATAAAACTTCAGTTTATTTCCCTGTAATATAAGTATTAACTCATACAATGTGTTTTTAAAAGGGAATGGTACAAAGTTCACAATTGGTAATGTGAAGGAAAAAAGAATTGTATTCCAAGGCATGTTACTCATTTAGGGTGTTGCAAGGAAATAATGTATCATCACCTGTGTCCCTTCTGAGAAAAACCTCAGAAGGAAGTGTTGCAGCCAGGAAGAGGTGAAGAGCTCAAGCTATACCTGCACTGGCTAGATTTCTTAGCTATAATCAAACTAAGATGGCTTCTGTTAATTTCAACAAAATGAGATTTTTTTTTTTTTTTTTTTATTGATTTGAGAAGCAGAGAGAAAGATAATCAGAGCCTTTCCTTCTTCCGGTTCCTCCCCAAATGTCCACAACAGTTAAGGCTGGGCTGGCCCACGGCAAGGAGCTGGGAATGCAGTCCTAGTCGGCCTCGTGCATGTCGGGGACCAGCTTGAGCTAGGACCTACCAGCTCCCAGTGCCGCATGAACAGAAAGCTGCAGACAGGTGCCAAAGCTAGGAGTCAAATTCAGGTGCCTTAGAAATAAGGTTGAAGATGGATGAGCCCAGGTTTATTAAAAAAAAAAAATCAGACCTAAAAAAAAAGTTTCAGGGTTTAAATCACACCAATTTCTTTAGATAAGTTATCACGGAATGCTTTGCCCAGTGAACAGAGAACACAGTTATTTGCAGACACCTGTGCAGCATTCGCAAACGCTGCTTGTCAGTTGGGAGCTTCTGCAAGAGACACAGGCTCACCCCCCAATCCCTCACCATGCAGCAACTCCAGATCAACCTCTGAGGGAGGGACACGCCTCCTGCTGCAGCACTGTGGACACTTGGAAATCCAACCAAAGAATTGTTTGGGAAGACACTTTTAAAGAGATAGTAAAAGGAACCCACAGTTCAGATTCCCACATCCCATGCTGGAGTGCTTAGGTTTGGTGTCCAGCTCTTGACTTTGACTTGCTGCTAGTGTGGACCCCAGGGTGGCAGCAAGTGCAGGCTCAGACAGTGGACTTCTGCCAGCCACATGGGACTTGTAGGTTGCATTGCCAACTCCCAAGCTTTGGCTTAGCACCATCTTGACTGTTACAGGAATTTAGGGGCTGAACTGGTGGATGAGCAGACTCTCTCTAATAAATAAATTGTTTTTAAAGTAACTAATAGGTTATAACAAAAGTACATGTCAAATTGAGGAGTTTTTAGGAAATCATGGAAAATGCTTGTTTTTGAAAAAAATAAGTTCAGGTATCATTTCTCTTGCAGAAAATTAAGCCTATAATTTCATTTTTCTCCAGATTTGTTTGAAGTGCCCTTGGAAGCATGCACTAAGTCAAAACCTTTGAAATGTAGCCAAAGTATTTCTTAGGAGAAAATTGGTAGTCTTTAAAATGCTTTCAAGTTAACTGAATTCATTTTACCTTTTCTTGGCTTAAGTATTCTACTCGGAGAAGCAAGGGAAAGGTTTCAATACCTAATCAGAGTAGAAGAAAATCTTTTCTTGACAAATTAATTAATGAAGTAGGAAGAGAGCTAATAACTTGGCCAATAAAACAAAACTAACTATTTCAAAGTGTAGTATAACGTAGCAAAAAAACTGACCAAAAAGTCGAAAAAGCATCAAGAATTAAAATTGTCATGATAAAAACAAAGTTGTCTTAAAAGCGGAAACATCTGAAACCAAGAACCTCGAGCAACTAAAAAGGGGGAGATCTGTTTCCTGTTAATCCTCTGTCGGATGGCTTGACGGGCTAAGACTGTTAGGCTTTCAGTGCCCAGGGTCGTGCCTCTGTGCCTTACGTTGTTGTAAGTCAACAGAGTGGTGTCAACATAACGTAGACACTGGACGAGGGGCCTGTATGTTCATGGACTGTGCAAAGCTTTAGTTTTACGTAGAAACGTTGAGATCCTTTTTGAAAGCTAAGGGTAGCCAGGGGTTAAAGGACACTGTATTGTCAGTGAAAGCATTTGCTGCCCTGTTGCAGGGGTGACAGTGTAGGAGCTTGGCTTAAGGTGTACAGGGAGGCTGTGCTCCCTAAAAGTGTTCTCCGAAATAAAGTTCATGGGCCCAACACGGGAGCCTAGTGGCTAAAGTCCTCGCCTTGCACACACCAAGATCTGCTGTGGGCACCAGTTCTTGTCCCACTTTCCATCCAACTCCCTGCTTGTGGCCTGGGAGGGCATTAGAGGATGGCTCAAGGCCTTGGGACCCTGCACCCACGTGGGAAACCTGGAAGAAACTCTTAGCTACTGGATTCAAAAGGTTCAGCTTGGGCCATTAAAGCCACTTGGTGAGTGAGTCATCAGATGAAAGATTTTCCTCTCTGTCTCCCTTCTGTGTATATTTGACTTTCCAATAAAAAAATCTTTTTAAAAAAGAAAATTAATTAGTTAAGCAATAATAGCAGTAATACTTTGTGACCATGTGGGATTTAATTCAGAAATGCCACAATGTTTCAGTGATTTCAGTGTCAAAAAATCCAGAAAGCATAATTTGCTGTCAGGCTGTAGGAGAAAAATATAATTAAAACCATGGCAACAGATAGCACTGTTTGTGATCTGTGGCTGATATATATATTTTAAAATTTATTGGAAAGACAAATTTACAGAGAAAAGGAAATAGATCTTATATTTGCTGGTTCACTCCACAGTGGCCTCAACAGCCAATCTGAAGCCAGGAGTCAGGAGTTTTTTCTGGATCTTCCACATGGGTGTAGGAACCCAAGATTTTGGGCCATCCTTGACTGCTCCCCCAGGCCACAAGCAGGAAGCTGGTTGTGGAGTGGGGTCTCCAGGGCATGAACCTGCGTCTTTATGGGAGCCTGGCACGTTCAAGGTGAGGATTTAGACACTGAGTCATCATGCTGAGCCCTATGGCTTATATTTTTTAAAAGTTAAGCAAAGTAGAGGGCCCAGCACAGTAGCATAGCAGTTAAAGTCCTAACCTTGAACACGCCAGGATCCTATATGGTCACTGGTTCTAATCCTAGCTGCCCTACTTCCCATCCAGCTCCCTGCTTGTGGCCTGGGAAAGCAGTAGAGGATGGCCCAAAGCCTTGGGATCCTGCACCCATGTGGGAGACCCAGAAGAAGCTCCTGGCCTCGGACTGACTAAGCTTTGACCATTGCAGCCTCTTGGATAGTGAACTATTGGACGGAAGATCTTCCTCTCTGTCTCTCCTCTGTATATCTTGTTTTGCAACAAAAATACATTTTTAAAAGAAAAAAAAATTTTAAGCAAAGTAGAAATAGTTTTTGATGAAGATCTGATGTCTGTAGCAGTAGCACAAGTGCCCAAATGTGACAAGCTCTTCACTCAGAGCACCCAGCATTCTGGAGTGTTGGCAGCACGTGTTGTAAAGGCAGAAGCTACACAGGCTGGCCAGTTGGATAGCAGGCACCAGTCAGGAGAAACCGAGAGCATCAAATCCTACTACCGGAAGACAGGTGAACTTGAAACATGAGAAGTCAAGCAGGATTCAGTGGAGGAAGTTCAGCTTAGGACTGAGAAAGGCCTGCTGCCGCACGCATGGTCACACGCAGAAACAGTCAGTAGTTAGATGTAGCAAGGGTTGCAGACTTTTCCTGTACCAGGACAAACAGTAATGTTTCACATGTAGTACAAGTATCTCCTTAGCCTCCCCTGTTATTTCTCTACTTCCATTCCCCTTTTTCCCGCCTCCCTCCTTTATTCCTTTCCCCCCCTACAAACCTGTAAAAATGTAAAACTGTTGCTAACTGCTGACCTACAAAACTGGCCAGGGTTAGCCCATGAATGCAGGCTTATGATAAAGAGTAGAAATGACCAATAGAGTCAGACTTCCTCCATAGCAAAATAAAATAAATCTGGGAAATGCATGGGACTTACGTGAGAGAATTGTTCAAATTGAAGATCATAGAAAATCCAAAAACTATCATAAATAAACATTTCTGCATAAGTGCTGCAAGGATCAACCGTCCCCTGGGTTCAGTACAGTCCTAATTAAAATTCACATCAGAATTGTTTAAGTAAAAAAGCTTAAACTTATCTTTAAATGTATTTGCAAGAGAAAAACATCTAATAGTGGACATCAGAGCAAAACATTGAAGAGGGCCTGTTCAACAAAAATCAAAATCCACCAAATGTAAAACATGCATACAAAGATGGCTTGGAGGAACTGCACAGGACCCAGATTTATGGAACTCAGTCAGTCTTACCTTGCTCAAGTCATGCTGCTTTGTCTTCAGTGCGTGTGTGGTTTTGCTACAAGTGATTCTGCCTGCTGTTCTCTTCTTGTGTAGGTATAAGCGTGCTAGCAGAGTGTCTGGACTGTCCTGAGTTGAAAGCCACTGCAGATGACTTTATCCATCAGCACTTTACTGAAGTTTACAAAACTGATGAATTTCTCCAACTTGACGTCAAGCGTGTAACCCATCTTCTGAACCAGGACACTCTGACTGTGAGGGCAGAGGATCAGGTGACCAGCTATCTCCTCACGTTTTTCTCAGTAAAACACACCTTTGGTTTCTTATACCTCTTCTTGAGATACATGTCCAGGAAAAGAATCAAGTCAGGAGAGGGTGTGTTCTTTTCATTAGACCTCGTCAATAAGATCTGCTTTCTAAGAAAAGTCAGTCTTGGCTGCTTGTAAAGGCTGGATTGTCGAGACACAGGCCTGGTGGAGAGAACAGTATCATGTATCACAGTGGGCAAGAATCCCACTCCCTCTCCTTCCAAAGATGTCCACATCCCAACCCCTGGAACCTGAAAATAGGGCACCATAAGTGACTGGTGGGGCTTGATAGGTGTGGTTTAAGCTAAGGATCTTGAGATGAGACAGCTTTCTACATGGGTACCACGTGGTGATGAAGTTCCTTGAATGTGGAGGAGTGGTGCTGTGTAAGAAGAACCTGAAGACATACAGTGTAGTGCTCAGCCTCAGAAAGGGCAAGGAAACAGCTTCTTCTAGGCCGCCCCGCCAATGCCTTGGTTTAGCCCAGTGTGACCCATTATGTACTCAACCCCAAAAGCTGTCAGATAAGCCACTAGAGGTTGGAAGCGTTAGCAGAGAAAGTCTTTGGGGCTGATGACAGTGGGGACTGTTGACAGGGGGGCTTGTCCTGTGCTTTTAGTTTCACATCCATCTCTGTTAAGTCACTAGCTTTTCTTGTTTTCGTTTTATATGTGTGTGTGTGTGTGTGTGTGTGTGTTTAAAGATTTACTTTATTTTTTTCAATTGGAAAGTTAGATATACAGAGAGTAAGATCTTCCGTCCACTGATTCATTCCCCAAGTGGCTGCACTGGCTAGAACTGAGCTAATCAGAAGCCAGCAGTCAGGAACTTCTTCTGGGTCTCCCACACGGGTGCAGGATCCCAAGGCTTTGGGCCGTCCTCCACTGCTTTCCCAGGCCACAAGCAGGGAGCTGGATGGGAAGTGGTGCAGCCAGGACATGAACTGGCTGGCACCCATATGGGATGCTGGCACTTGCAGGTGGAGGATTGGCCATTTGAGCCATGCACTGTTCCCAAGCCACTGTTTTTGTGTAATTTGTTAGAGCAGGAATAGGACAAGTAAATAGGCAATATATGGTCATATGCTTTCAGTAATTTTTGTTGTAAAGATGAAAGGTTTGCACTAAATCATACTCTTTTACCATTTAAAATGACCCACACGCTGGAGAATCTTACTGGGCAAAAAACCCAGAACAAAAACAGTCAAAACCCAGCTCAATAATGAAAATTAGCTGACTTGGCATATAGTATGCCTGGATCATCAAGGTTAACCTCTTCAGTGCTGAGTGATGCTGATGGCAGGTACACTTGACATAATGAAAATGATGTCTCTGGGGTTGTCTTTTTTTAAATATATACTTTATTTTCAGTTTGAAAAGATGTACAGAGAGGAGGAGAAACAGAGAGGAAGATTTTCCATCCGATGGATCTTGTGCCCGATGAACACTCCCCAAGTAGCTACAATAACTGGAGCTGAGCTGATCAAAAGCCAGGAGCTTCTTCTGGGTCTCCCACACGAGTGCAGGTTTCCAAACTTTGGGACATCCTCGACTGCTTTCCCAGGCCATAGGCAGGGAGCTGGATGGAAGTGGGGAGGCCAGGACATGAACTGGCGCCCTTATGGGATCCTGGGAATATACAAGGTAAAGACTTTAACCACTAGGCCACCATGCTGGGCCCTGTGGTTGTCCTTTTAAAGAACCATAATTCTAGCCTAATGAGTAAAGTGTCAGACCAACTCAACTACTGTAAAATTTCTGGCCAGAACTCAGAACTTGTTAGGTCATCAAAAATGAAGAGAAGGCAAGCCAGGCATGATGATTAGGTGGCTAAAACCTTGTCTTGAACACACCTGGTTCCATATGGAAACTAATTCGTGTCTTGGCTGCTCTACTTCCCATCCAGCTCCCTGCTTGTGGCCTTGGAAAGCAGTCAAGGATGACCCAAAGCCTTGGTACCTTGCACCCACGTGGGAGACCCAGAAACAGCTCCTGCCTTTAGGCTCCTGGCTCCTGGCTTCAGATCGGCTTAGCTTTGACCGTTGCATCCACTTAAGCTATAAACCACTTAAGCCAGCGGAAAGAAGATCTTTCTATCTCCTTTTCTCCATAACTTTGCCTTTCCAGTAAAACTGAATTAATCTTTAAAAAAAAAAAAAAAAGGAAAGGTTAAGAAACTGTCACCGTCTAACAAAACCTGATGTGATTCAATGTCTACATGTAAGGTGGTATATACTTTATGAGGTCATGAGTCAGAAAAATAACTAAAGGTTGTAAACTAAAAAAATATTAACTTCACTGCCTGGTGCCATGGCTTAGGGTCTGAAGTCCTTGCCTTGCATGTGCCAGGATCCCATATGGGCCCCAGTTCGTGTTCCAGCTGCTCCACTTCCCATCCAGCTCCCTGCTTGTGGCCTGGAAAAGCGGAAGAGGAAGGCCCAAAGACTTGGGATCCTGCATCCACGTGGGAGACCTGGAGGGAGTCCCTGGCGCCTCGCTCGGATAGGCTCAGCTCCAGCCATTGTGGCCACTTGGGGTGTAGACCATTAGATAGATCTCTCTCTCCTTCTCTCTGTAAATCTGACTTTCCAATAAAAAGAACAAATTGAAGAAAAATACAGATAAAAAAGAAGTACTAACTTTAGTTAATGTGTTTTATTGGTTTAACATTTGTGGGAAACAGTTTGTGCTAATGTAACTTCCTCACAGCTGATTGCAAAGTATGTTAGAATTTGGGGTGCCACCTTTGCTACTTTCCTGTGTATTTAAAACTACAATTTGAACTTTATATTTTTGAGAAAAGAACAACTTCCACAAAAACTCATAGGGAAATCATAATTGGACCTCGTTAGCACCACCACAGAATTAGCCGTATGTGTATGTGACAGAGAAATAGTACTTATTCTCACTATTATTTGTAAATTAATTATGCTAAAGAATTTCAGCTTGTTCAATGCAGTTAAGTTAAAACTGGTATTCTGGGGAGAAAAACTGAGGTAATGTGACTATGCTATCGTTTAAGTTTAGAATTTTTACGTTAAAGTTATCTAGAAAGCAGGTAAGTCTGTTAGTTCACAATCATCCATATAATATTGAAATAAAATCAGATGAATCTTCCCCACTCGATATGGAAGACCCTTTGGGAAACTAGCCTGTTTCCGGATCTAAGCAAGCATCTGCTGAAACTAATTGACCAAGAGATTTTTTTTTTCCCCTACTACTATGTATGTCATGTCTCCTTCTAGAAAAACAGGTATATTTTGTTTTAAATAATCTTGAATTCAGTATCCTCCCTGCTATTACATTATGCAGTTAGTAGTAGTACCAGTTAGTTCCTAAAAATTTACCACCTAGAGCTCTCACTAGCGCAGTGTATAAATTGCTGTGAAGTATAAGGATATAAAAGCAGAGTATAAGGGATAAAAGCAAACATCTGAATATAATACTGAACCTGCGTGGCTGTCTCCTGCAGCTCTTCCTCCTCTGAGTGCAGAGAGAGGTCACTGGAAATGTTGCTTCCATCTGAAACCCCCTTGTGCTGTTTCTCCCCCTTAGGTGTATGATGCTGCAGTCAGGTGGCTGAAATACGACGAACCCAACCGCCAGCCTTTCATGGTGGATATCCTTGCTAAAGTCAGGTTCCCTCTTATATCCAAGAACTTCTTAAGTAAAACAGTACAAGCTGAACCACTGATTCAAGACAATCCTGAATGCCTTAAGATGGTGATAAGTAAGTTGCCTTCATACCTGTTTATGACCTGATTACATAACCAGTTTTTCATCATTACAGTGGATGAGACTGAGTAGCTGGAGCAAAATATTGGAGACTTGGCTCTTGCAGATAATTAATCCCCTGGAGTTCTCAGCTGTGCCCATGGAGGAGCCTTAGCCTCAGAGCTTATTTTATGTTGTCCTAAGAGAAAGCAACAATTCCATAAGCTTTTCCCCTTTTGTATGCAGAAGCTTTCATACATTTTATTCCCATTGTGTCCTTTCCATGTATACTTGGCCACATGTCAGCTGTTTTTGTTTGTGTGTTTTTAATTTCATGCTTTATGTTTCAGTATCATCACTTTAGAGCAGTCATGATACTGTCTTGGAGTTTTGGAAGTTGTCTTAAGTTGTCTGTATTTTCTGTATTTGGATTTTCATCTTTTTTTTCCTTCAGAGTGTCATTTCCTCTTTTAATCATGTGAGAGAGAGTTATGTCCAGACTCAAATTATGTTCCATGTGTGACTGGACTGGATTTTGGGCTGATCTATAGGTAATCAGAGTAGCTGTTTTTTTTCATTGAGGGCTCCCTAATGCCAGTATCTGCAGATGTTTCGTAGTGAAGAATAAGCTAGGTACAGGTGTTTGGAAGTGGGGTAAGGGATATTTTGCAGCTCAATGCCAGTTATTCTGTCCCATGCCCTTCTCTGTGGTTGTCTAACTCTGGGTCGGTTTCTGGGTCAGTCCTCCAGTATCCTGCAGTGCTGAATGGGCCATGGGTATCTAACTGTGCAGCCGGTGGAGGCCGCCTAGGATTTCACCTGTTGTTGACTCAGAATTTAGAGTTCTCTTATTTTCCTCCCCAACTTCACCTCCTGGGACACTTGCCGTCTCCAGCCATGAGCCTCTCCAAGGTCTGTAGGGTAATCTTACTTTTGATTGTTTACATAATAAACACATTAAACAGAACTTCCATCTGCTACCTGTTTTTGGTAATTGGACTTTGGGGTTATACTTCTTTATGATTTTCAAAGCTACACTTAGTGTTCATTTCTTCTTTGTTTGGGGTGATTTTCAAGAGAAAAGAAAAAAGTTCTTTCAATGCTTTGTCCAACTTCGTGTTATTTTTATATCACAAATAGGAACCAGTCTTTCCATTTATGTCTAGCTGGAAACATCTTCCTTAGGTCAAGATTATTTTAATTACCTAAAGTTCCTCGTGTACATTTTGGATCTTTTTCTTTTCTTCTTGACCATTGAATTTCCTCCTGAAATGTATTTTGTGTGAAACTAAATTTCCATTATGTTTATGTACACACAATTAGTCTTCCATTTCATTCTTATATCTTTTAGCCATTGTAATACTCCATATGATTGCTGTCTCTGACAATGTGTAACTACATCTTACAAATTCTTTGTTTTTTTTTTTTTTTTACTTCTGCTTGCTTTACTTGATCTTCAATTTAGATGCATGTTGATACATTGAAATATGCTTTGCATTTTTATAGAAAGCTGGGTGAAGTTAAATTTGTTTTTAAATATTGAATTACACACTGTAAATTATACCTTAAAGTGTTAGAATTCAGTATTTTGAGTCTAGAAAAACTTCCACCAAGCAGTAACACTTTTGCAAAATATTACTGTATGTTTCTTATTATTCTGATATAAAAACATTTAAATCAGATATGTCCTCTTAAAATTTTAAATGTACAAACATTATTGCTGACTACAGAAATAATATTGTGCAGTACATTTGTACAGTTTGTTAATCTTGCTTAACTGAACCATCTTACCAACCAACTAGCAATTCTTTTTTTCTTTTACATTTTATTATTATTGCTATCTTTATGATACAGTTCCATATTCCCTTATCCCCTCCCCAATTCCCTCCCGCCCTCACCTAGATCCTCTATATCATTACTGACATATAGTTCTTCATACTCAGTCATATGTCCATCATTGCGGGCATGGACAATGGCAGAGAGTCCAGAATCCTATTGTCAAGATATAGTAAGCAGTTTCACTGTAAGTCCATCTTTGTCTGGAACCAGAAATGCATATCACACTGCATCCTCACATCTGGATGTTAGTTTCCATTTCACAGCTACTGTACATCCCCTTCAATGAAAAGTCATGATACAAAATCAACAATAGAAAGAAAAATAGAAATTTACAATGCTATGAGGTTAAATGACATGTTTCTAGATAAGACAGTCTCCATTACACAACTACTGTTATTCCCTTAAATGAAAAGTCATAATACAAAATCAACAATAGAAAGAAAAATAGAAATTTACAATGCCCTGAAGTTAAATGACAGGTTACTAGATATGACAGTCTCCATTACACAGCTACTATACATCCCCTTCAATGAAGAGCCACAAAACAAAATTATCAGGTAGAAAAAAGAAATTAACATAACCAAGAAATTAAATAACATGCCATTAAATGACTAACATGTAGCTGAAGAAATGAAAATCAAGAACCTTCTTGAAGAAAATGATGCCACTGCATGATCTACAAGTCATTGAATGATTTAATCAGAACAAAGTGTTTTGAAGAGATGAAACTAACAGAAAACAACAAAACCCATGCAATATAGTTTCCGCTGATCTTTGTTGAAGTGTGTCTCCTCCAGACAATAAACAGATGGGTTTTGTTTTTTAATCCAGTCTACTAATCTATGATGTTTGATTGAGCTTAAGCCATTTACATTCAGAGTTTAATACTTGTGGGTGGTACTTTGATTCTGTCATTTTAGGGATGGGTTGTTCATTGGTTTAGTCTTGTGTTGTCATTTTACTGGGATGTTCTTCCCATTTGCCTTTGGTTTTGGTAGGTGCTATTCCTCTTCTCTGTCAAGAGAACATCTTGAAGTATCCTTTGTAGGGCAGGTTTGAAAGCGGCAAATTCTTTTAACTTTTCTTTACTGTGGAAGAATTTTATTTCATTTTCAAAGACAAAAGAAAGCTCTGCTGGGTATGTTATCCTAGGCTGACACTTTTTTTCTTTTAGAATCTGGAATATGCCACTCCTTTCTCTTCTTGCCTATATAGTTTCCTGTGAGAGATCTCCTGTGAGCTTAATTGGCATTCCTTTATATGTCAATTGATTTTTTTTCACGTGCATGTTTCAGGATCTTTTCCTTATGTTCAATTGAAGAGAGCTTGATGATCATGTGTTGTGGTGAAGATTGTTTTTGATCAAGCCTGTTGGGAGTTCTGTGCCCCTCCTGGATCTTGTTTCCCAATTCTTTCTCCAGATTAGGGAAATTTTCCTTGATTATTTCATTAAATACATTTGCAAGCTCAGCTTCTCTTTCTGCACCTTCTGGGATTCCCATAATTCTTATATTTGGCCTCTTAAGAGTGTCTTTCAATTCTTGAATACTTTTGTTGGCCTGATCCAGCTCTGCTTGCAGCTTTTTGTTTACTTCCCCTGGTGACAGGAGATATCTTCTAATCCTGAAATTCTTTCTTCTGCTTGCTTCATTCTATTCTGGAGACGCTCCACTGTGCTTTTAATTTGCTCTACTGTGTTCTTAATTTCTGATATACCAGCCCTGATTTGCTGACATTAGTAAATTTTAGTTGCTTTTATTGCTGCTTGACCATAGCAGTACCAGAAGTCTCTGGTGGCCGAATGTTTGCTGTTTGTTTGTCCTGTTGTCTTATTCTTGGTGACTTAATCCCTTTTGCATACTGTAATTTTGAATTATGTGCTTTTGTTTGCTTGGTGTTAATCCAGAGGAATATTGGGAGCTTTGGCTGTGTTTCTATGGATCTTCTCTGTTCTAGTTAAGAGAATAATGTTTTCTTTTGCCGTGTTCTCTAGAGCACAACAATGTTCTTGCCTTGTGGTTTTCTAGAGTTACCAGAAGTCTGAAATCAGTTCTGAGACCTGCATGAGGGCAGAACCCTCAGTGTTCGAAGACTTTACCTTTACCTGAAGTTGAAACAGAGATGTCACTGTTTTTCCATTTACTAAGCAGTTGCTGCTGCTGCTACTATTGTTGTTCTTAGCCTGTCCTTTAACTAAGAATCTAGCCACCAGTCTAAGCTGTCCGGTTTCTGGCAGAGATCTTGGCTCCCATGCTTTCTTGAACAGGCCCAAGACCTCATCTTCTCTGCCTCTCCCAGCAGTTGTCACAAGGTCTAAAAGGCCTTGAGAACAGCCCTAGGGTCTCTTGGTGGACACTTCCTGTTCATTGTTGCACCTCTGATCTCTTCGAGTCTTAGCTATGCATTGAAAGTGGTATTCGTTTTATTCTTTCCAGCATTTATAGGAATTTTGTAGCAGCAAGATGATAGCAACAGCAGTAATCCAATATTTTCTGTAAGTTTAGATTGCTATTTGTGTGCACTATATTATAATGACTTCGGTATCCTGAGCTAAGTGTGTTCCAGCTAGCCCTTACAGGCTCATAAACACCCATTTATCTTAACCAAAAAGCACTGGACGGTTATCCCTAAGTGAGGTAGCATTACAGACTTCAGTTTATATATGATGAGCAGGCAGGTCCCAGAGAACATGGAACCTGCTTTGAATCCTTCAGTTGTTTCTGACAGCATTTCAATGATTTATTTAATAGGGGCCTAGTTTCAGGTAAAGTTAAGGAAATAAAAAAGTGAATATCTGAGCTCACACCTAGAACATCCATCTCAAGAGCAATGAGTGTTCTCATTGTTAGACCACTTACTTGCTCCTTGACTTGGAAGTCACATGGCTGCTGCTGCCTAGTAACAGTGTGTGGCTCTAGGTAAGCTGACCCAGTGTTGTCCCCATTCTGGAACAATAATTATGACACAGGGATACTTCAAAAAGGTAGCTTAAGAAAACAACTGAATTCAGAGAAAATTTGTTTTGGCGAAAAAATAAATTGAAGTAATACACAATTTCTATAGAGTGTTTTGAAGTCTTCTCAGATTGCTTTACAATGAAATGCTCTATGGTTACCTAAAATTATTTTACATGCATATGTAATGATATAGAAATTATTTTTCATAAGTTTCAAAAGCATAGAAGAGAATATCTTGTATCTTTTGTTAAATGAAAATGAAATTATAGAGCAGAAAAGACTTCTTAGATGCGTTTGAACCCAGTTGAGGTTGTGAAGGGAAAAAGAAATCAAGAGCCTGTGGGAGAAGCAGGCAGATAGCAAAGTAATTATACTAGAAAGGGTGTCAGTCAGTAGACACATCATTATACACACTTGATTTAAAGGATGAAAGAGGAAAACAGGACAACTCTCTTGAAACAAAGGCCTGTGTCCTGAAAACCACTGTGTGGTGAGTGCTAAGGTGTACAGCACCGGGGCAGGCATTTATCCTGTTGATAAAGATGCCAGTTAGAACACCAGCATCCCTTATCGAAGTACCCCTGTTAACTCTGTTCCTGATGCCAGCTTCCTGCTAGGGCAGCTCCTGGGGGTGCAGTGGTAATGGCTCATGGAATCAGGTCCCTACCGCCTACCCATGTCAGATGCTTCAATTTTGCTCATGGCTCCCAAGGCTGGCCCTGACCAGTCCCAGTCAGTAGTGGACATTTGAATAGATACTTGCTCTCTTTCTCTCTCAAAAAGAAAAAAATTAAAATTTTAAAGAACTAGAAAGAAGTAGACATGTAGCACAGCAGGTTGAGCCACCCCCAGATTACAGTGCCTAGAATCAGATCATGCCTCTGCTTCCCATCCAGCTTCCTGGATAGTGCATTTGGGAGCCTGTCCAAGTCCTCGGGCCCCTGCCTCCCGTATGGGAGATCCCGTTGGAGTCCCTGGCTGTTAGTTTCAGCCTGGCCCAATCCTAGCTATTGCAGGCATTTAGGGAATGAACCTCTCTGTCACTCTGCCTTTCAAATAAACGGCACTGTTTAAACTAAGAAGTTTTTGAGAAATCTAAAAAGAAGGACTGGAGCATATATGGTCAATAGAGTATCTTTAAAACCAGAGATGGAAGGGAAAAACTCAGGACCCATACAGAAAGTGTTGTGTTAGATTCAGGACTATTATTATTTCCATCCATATTAACGTCAGGTTTTTGTACACCTCCATTCCCACCCTGTGTGTTATTTGCCTTAGAGTTTCAGTAGGGAGAGAACTCCATTTCTTCACATGGGGTGCCAAGCTCTGGAGGCAATTAGCCAGTCTCAGAGACTGGTGTTTAGTTTTCATGTGGATTCTGAATTTCAGAAATGGGAAGCAGGATTATTGCAGATTCTCAACCAAGTGTAGGATTTAGGCTCTTGAACTTTTGTCATTTCAAGTTTAATTTATAAGGCTTATTTCATCTCCCCCCCCCCCCTTTTTTTTTTCCCTTCTTCACATAAAGAACAGTGAATGGCTGTAACTCCCTGACTAAGCCCAAGCAGCTGAGACTTGCAAGAGTTGAGGCCCTGGCAATACTAAATTGGGGAAAGAAGGTCACCAGTACCCCTGCTTCAGATCTTCAGCTGTCTTCTGTCATCTGCCTTACATTTGCCTTTTCAGAGCAGAAGAAAAACGGAAAAGATGATTGAAAAAATAGAATAAAACTAAACTAAAAGAATTGACATCTCAAGAACAAGTCACAAAAGTGAAAATCAAATACACACCATCAAAGCCACCACAAGGGGCCAGACCAAATTCTTACTCAGAATCTACCAGTGAAAACATCCAACTCTGCCATGACTAGCTAGCTGCCAATGGAATAAACCTGGGGAATGATGAGCTCCTCAGGAAAAGTGGCAAATTGTCCCCAGTCTACTCCTTGGAGAGAAAGAAAAAACCCATCAGCAAAGGGAGCCATACACTGCTGTTGCTTCCTGCAAAGGCAACTCTGGTGGCTCCGGTCAGGCTGTCCCTTCAGTTCCCTCCCAGCTCTCCTGCCTCTTCTCCTGCTAGGAGCCTACACAGCCTGCCTTCTGCCTGTGGGGTCCCCTTCTGGAGCAGGGACTGTCCAACCTTACAGCTTCTGATTCAGGAGGTCTGGGGCTCCTGTCCAACAATATCCATCCCTTCCCCCCACACACATATCCAAGGCAGTTTGATGCTGCTGAGAGTGGGATCTAAATCCAACCTTGAGCTAAACTGTAAAGGATTGCAAAAGATGATGTAAAAACCACAGGCATCCCTGAAAACCTGAAGTACTTCCTGTCAACCCTTTGCAGAGGTTGGCCAACCCCTGACCTAGAGAGTGTGCCACAGCCTGGAACCCAATACTGATAGGGAAGGGATGCTTAACATTGCCAGTGATTCCTGCAAGCTAGTCTCTAAACATGGTTTCTCTCTGTATCCCTTTTATTAAGGTCCAATGTAGGCCCATGTTCAAAAGTGCTTTCTTTAGCTGTGCTAATGGTCTTTTGGAGGTCAGTCATACTGTGCATCATGCACAGGTCAAAAAAGTAGAATGCATAGTGAAAAGTGTGTCTGTGGCCCAGTGTCCTTATGCCACAGGCACTGTCATTGTTCTATATGTGCTTTTGCAGGTGTGCTTCAGACTTCATGCAGTCATGTGCTCCCATACACATGTATGAATTGTATATGGAAAATGTACGCATGCACAGAAATACACATTTTAACACAACGATATTACACTCTGTGTGTGTGTGTTATAGCTCGCCTTTTTTCATGCCACAGTATTCTTGGAGACCATTACACGTGTATGGATATATTATTCTTTTCATTCTTCTTAACAGCCACATGTCCTGCTCCATTTTGTACATACACCGCAGTTTTCAAGCCACTTCCCTAACAGTAAATGTAGGTTGGTAACCTCTAGAAAAAGGGAATTCCTGCATGCAAGAATGTGTACATTTGAGATTTTTGTGGCTCGCTCTGTGTTGCCCTCCAGGTAAGCTCATCCACATCTCCTCTACACACAGCCTTGGTACACCATGTGTTTCAGTCAGTTTGATTTTGACCATTCTGAGAAGAGAGAGAGAGAAAAAAAAAGATGGTTTTAATTGATGTTTCTAACCAGAGCATTTTAGCATCTCTTTATGTTTCAAGTGGTTTGCAGTTCTGCAAACTTGGACACCTCGACTAATTTTCTAATAAGTTGCTGTTTTTAATCTTGTTTGATTGAGCACATTTTTACAGTCTCATTTATAAATGTTTCCCAAGTTTGTCATTGACTTTTTTTTCTTTGCCATACAACAATTAGATTGAAACTGATTTTTATACAGTTAGGCCTGAGTATTATTTTAAGGTTATTTATTTGAAAGACTTACAGAGAGAGAAGGAGAAAGAGATGTTTCAGCCATTGGTTCACTTCCCATATGCCTGCAATGACTGGAGTTAGGTTAAGCCGAAGCCAGGAGCCTGGAACTATTCAAGTTTCCCACGTGGTACAAGGCCCCAACCGCTTGGGCCATGTTCCACTGTTTTCCCAGGTTCATCAGCAGGGAGCTGAGCAGAAAAAGATGAGCCTGGATGTGAACCCTCCCCACTAGGGGGTGCTGGCATTGTAAGCAGCATTCTGTGCCATAACAGACGCCCTTTCCTGAACATTTTTTATGATAGTATTTTAAGCCATTTATGAGTTTTTTTGTATATTAAATTTTTACTGATTTAGAACTGATGTGTTGGTTCAATCCTCCATCTTCGAGATCTGGGATCCCACATGGGCGCCAGTTTGTGTTTTAAAGATCCACTTCCCATCCAGCTCCCTGCTTGTAGCCTAAGAAAGCAGCAGAGGATGGCCCAGGTCCTTGGGACCCTACACCTGCCTGGGAGACCCAGAGAAAGCTCCTGGCTCCTGGATTTGGCTTGACTCCGCTCATTGCAACCATTTGTGGGGTGAACCAGGAACTCTCTGGTCTCGCCTCTCTGTAAATCTGCTTTTCTAATAAAAAGAAAGTGGTCTTGTTTGTTTTTTTACTGATTTAAAATTTAGAGTAAAATGAGATGGGATACAGAGCTTTTCCCTCCAGACCTGGCATGGTAGCCTAAAGACTAAAGTCCTCACCTTGCATGCCCAGCTTCCTATATGGGTGTCAGTTTATATCCCAGCTGCTCCACTCCCATCCAACTCCGTGCTTGTGGACTGGAAAGACAGTCGAGGGCGGCCCAAAACCCCCAAAGCCTTAGAACCCTGTACCCACTTGGAACACCTAGAACAAGTTCCTGGCTCCTGGCTTCAGATCAGCTCGGCTCAGGCCATTGCCGCCACTTGGGGAGTGAGCCAGTGGACGGAAGATCTTTCTTTCTCTCTCCTCTCTAATTCTGACTTTCTGATAAAAAAATAATTTTTTTTTTTTTTAAAAAAGCTTTTCCCTCCATCTTGTCTTAAATCATTAGAAGATCTTTGCATTGATTTGAAATAACATATTTAAACAGTTTTCAATTAAGTAAGCTGTGACAAAATTAAGGAATTCCTGAAAGAAGAGGGTCATGCTGAATCACAGCTCTCAACCCTTACAGTACCAGCGCAGGGCAACCTGTAGCAGCGAGTCTCTGATTCTGATGTAATGGATCTGTGGCAGGGCCCCAGATAGGAGGAAGCAGTTCCAGAGTTTCCCTGGGAATTCCTAATGTTAAGATTGAGATCTGGGGCTCGGGGTTCCTCTTGTTTCAGCTGCTGCTGTGAGAGCTGGGTGATGGTCTGGTTCTTAGCCAGGGGAAGGGGCCGTCTTGGTGATTACTGAGGATAATGAATTGGTTGTGATTCGGCCTTCCACATCTCTCCTGCATTGCCCCCTCATCTTCCTTGTGTGTTGTAGAAGGAGCAGCATCACTATTGCTGTGTCTGGGTATTTCCTTTTCAGAGCCTGCCTTAAAGTGCCTGCCGTTCTTGAAGAGTTACCCTGTATCTTTTCCAGGTGGAATGAGGTACCACCTCCTGTCTCCGGAGGATCGAGAGGAACTGGTGGACGGAACAAGGCCAAGGAGAAAGAAACACGACTACCGCATAGCCCTGTTTGGAGGTTCCCAACCACAGTCTTGTAGATATTTTAATCCAAAGGTAACTCCTCTTTCTCCTCCTTCGTATTTGAAAGCACTGAGACACACACCTACCCTAAGTAGCAACAACTCATATCTTTACAGTTGCTGGCTTATTATGTTCTTTCACATACCTGTGGTTATCATCTTCATTTACAGAAAAGGAAATTGAGGTTCAGATTTCAGATGTTTCCATCATTTCCCTGGAGCGTAACCATAGTTACACAGTAGCCATATCAAACACAATAGAAAGCTAGTTCTTACCTCTCTGTTACCAACTTCTTGCATTCATTACAAACCCTTTATCATGAGCCATTTTCAGCGAAAAAAAAAAATCTGCTTCCAGTGCTGATGTGTTTTCTTTAGTTAGTAATCATATTTTAATGTAAAATAATATTTAGGCATTGTAGAAAATTTAGAAAACCTAGGACATTTTCCACAAAGGAAAAATAGTTACTTCTGATCCAACCATCTAGCAACAGTGGCCAGCACTGGTGTGCTTTCCTACAGTATGTGTGTTGCCAGTTGGACCTGCAGAAGCTGCATAAAGTCCCACTCACATTCCCACTCCCTGTTTCTTAGACCTGTGTGGTTTGACAGTGGAAGAAATAGTCTGTTGTTGTTACTGTCCTACATGTATTGCTGGGACAGAGCAAATACCACAGTGCTGAAAGATGACCCCCTCCCGGACTCAGCTGTCCATAACTGATGCCCAATCCAAACACATAAAATGAGCCCTTTCCTCATTTTGTAAATGAGCACATGTCTGGTTGCTGCCCATGAGACCAGAGGAGCCTGTTGACGTCAGAGTCCTTCTCTGATACGCTCTCTCTCTGAAGTGGGTCCTTGGATGCATTCCAGCTAATGCGGTGTCAACGAGACAGTGGTGTCAAAGATGGCAGAAGTCAGAAAGTGCTAAGTATCAATTCCTGTGAGGGCAGAGCAGTGTCAACAGTAGACAGCTACAATTGTAATTATTTGAGGTAGCTGTTTCCCTCAAAGCATGATTACAAACCAAGGGCTTAGGGTGGGTCAGTATTGCTTTCAAAGTGGTCAGTGCTCAGTAGTCAGCAGCCACTTGGCCAAAAGGAGGAAAGATTCACTAGTTTCTGTAGCTGCCAGAGCAGGTGGCCTCTGGCAGGACCACTGTGGTCACTCATAAGCCCTTTGAGCCAGAATCACGCTTGCTAGCAAGGGAAGATACAGACCCAGGCCTGTACGTAGACACTATTGAAGTGATGAGCATTCTGAGAATTCCTGCAGGAGGTGGATGCTGTAACTCAGTGGATGAAGCTGCCATTTTGGATGCCTACATTCCAAATCACAGTACCAACTGGAGTACCAGCTACTCTGCTTCTGATGATGCGTCCTGGGAGCAGCAAACTGTGGCTCAAGTCCCTGGAACTGTACCACCCACATGAGAGACATGGATGGACTCCTCGGCTCCTGGCTCAGCTCAACCCAGCCTTAGCTGCCTTGGGCAAATGGGGAGTGACCCAGCAGATGGAGGTTCTCTTGCTCTCTCACTCTGCCTTTCATATAGAAGAAAAGAAATAAGCAAACTTTTTTTTTAAAGAGAGTTCATATGAGACACAAATTTGTCCTTTCTGGAGCTTCACCTAATTGTCTTTTCTCAAAGCCTGTCAGCAGTCTTCCAGTCTTGCTCATTTCAGATCAGCATCCATCAGGGAAGTCCTTAGTGACACCCAGGAAGTGATCAAATCTGATCTAAGACTTTCCCTCCTGAGGATACGAAAGGCAGGAGAATGAACTGCTTGAAATTCTGCCAAATCAGAACCTGTTGCTTCATACTATTTTTGAGTACAGTTCCCGAAGGGGTTGTAATGCTTTAGCAGGTCATCGTGGTGTGTATGATCAAAAATAAAGCAAGCTCAGGTCTCTCAGGTCCACCAGCTGATGAGCAGCAGCCCCATGAAAGCACATCCCTGGCTGATGGAGAAGGACTGCTGGCTAAGAGGGATCAGCTTCTCTGGGCATTCTGTGCCTTCAAAACTTCCACAAGTGCAGTCTTAAAAGTTGAAGGCAGGCTCTGTTTGTAATCAGGTTAGCCTAAGCTGTTCCAGAGAGGTTAGTGACATCATTACCTGGTTCCTCTTGGTGTCAGACATTGGCTGTACATAGAATTTAGCAGCCAGCCACAAGCCATCTACCCAACAAAAGGAGATCAGCCTTGCTCTGGAATCCCAGGGGGTGTGCCCTGTGATCATCGTAGGGAACCCCAGGATCATAAGATAGCCTGAACATCCAAGCAGTACTCTTAGAGCCTGTCCTTCTCCTAGCCTAGATTTTACTTGCAATTAATGGCATTTTGGTTTACCCAGTAAAGGTACAGGATATATGCCCTGCCTAATATGTAGGCAATGACTCCCAGGGGTTAAGTAACATGTTGTAGATTAGGACTTGGCTAACTGCCTTTATGAAGGCCGGATTAAGTGTTTTCAGCTTTACTGGCCATGTGTTTTTGCTATGACGATTGAGCTTGAAACAGCCATCCAAAACCAAATGCCTGAGCCTCTGTTCCATAAAACTTTATATACAAAACAGGTGACCTTTAGACTATAGGCTCTGAATCTCTGTGAGCTTTGCAGTGATCAGCACTGTATTCTGGTCTCACAAATCTGCCATTGTAACTAGCACATGCCTAACATATAGCTCCTTCCCATTTCCTGGTCTCCAGAACTGGTCAGCCCTGTAGGCATCCACCAGGGATTTAGATGATTGGGAAGGACACATAGTCCAGGACACCTGCACCTTACAAAATGGAAAAGAGTCGAGAAGTCATTATATTCAGACCAGCTGACAAGAATTCCATCTGATGGTCTGAATAGACAGTAATAGAGTAGGCATTAGCCCAAGGGTTAGCCATCCACCAAGTTAGTGATTGTATTGATCTGGTCCAGTGAGAAGACCTTACCTGGCTCTGCTGGATAGAGACCATCGGAATCACCTGTCTCGGCAATTGTCAAAGAAGCATTTCCTCCTCTTGTTTTAATGGAGGAGACCCAGTTGCCCACATGCAAAACACTTCCCCAAGATGAAGGATCAGTTCTCTTCATTAACTGCCATCGTATCTGGATAGTCCTTACTACACTGCTCTCGGCTCTGACATCCGCTTCTAAGCCATTCTTCCATCTCTGTAATACATGATGATTTTTTTCTTTTTAGACTAACAATACATGGCTTCATTTCTCAGTAGAAAGCTTGGTCACAGATACTACAAGAAAGCATCTATGGGCATATTGCCCTCAGGATGCTTGAATGGTTGGTATACATGTTTCACATCAAGTGAGGGTAAACATCTTGAAATTTAGTGGCTATTTGTGTTTTCTAATCTTTCAGGATCCTTTCATATCAAAAATTGGAAAATTAGAAACTTCTAAGCAGCAATAAATCATGGCATTTTAAATTGTAATTCTACAAACAGCAACTTTCAGATTTTTTTGATATTGTTGTTACATTTATTTGTTTGACTTGAAAATCAGAGGTATAGGACAGGGGTAGAGACAGGGGTGACAGAGCGAGAGAGATCTTCTGTCTACTAGTTCACTTCTCAAATGGCCAAATGATCAGAGCTGGGCCGATCTGAAGCCAGGAGCCAGGAATATCTCAGTCTCCCACATGGGTGCAGGGGCCCAAGGACTTGAGCCATTTTTTGTTGCTTTCCCAGTGCACAAGCAGGGAACTGGATGAGGAAGTGGAGTAAACCAGCACCATTATGGGATGCTGACACTACAAGTAGAGGATTAACATGTATGCCATCACACCAGCCCCTGCTTTTCAGATTTTAATAATAGTTATATCCTGTTTCCCATAGCCTAACTGTGTTGATTTTGACAGTTAAGCAATTTCTACTAAGTTTTTGTAGAAAAGATTTTATTTACTTGTTGATAGATAAAGGAAATTGCTATTTTGGAGTACAGTTGGGCAAAAAGAATTCTGATTTCATTTAAGAAGCAGAGTATTTTTAGAACGTGGGATGGCTCCTAGCACTTTATTTTTAGCCTATAATTGTAACACTTCCATTGATTTTTTTTTTTATTGGACAGTTTAAAAGAACTGAATATTCTACACAAGCCTGGAAGTGAGACTGTAACTTCAGAATTACTATATGACGCTTTGCTTTGCTCATATGAATGCCCCATTTTTAACTGCTGTAAACCACATGTTTTCAGATATCCCAAATAATTGAGGAATTAATTTCTGGCAAAAACATCCTCATTCTATCAATGTCTCTTACTCCCTGAAGTTAATGCTGCTACAATCCAATTATAGTATGTGCATAGTGAGTGTTTATACCAGTTCCTGCCCTCCTATTTACTATAAAAATTTACTATTCTTTGTACATTATACTTAATTGTAAGTTGGGCAGTTCTTATATCTGTTAAAATCACTGGGAAGCTGATTTTATCCTGAATATCTTAGATCTCCCATCATGAGTGTTTTATAACTCAAGTTCATTTAATGAGTACCCTATTGAAGTTGTTTTATTTTATACTTCTTGAATTTAATATGTTTGGGAATGTTAAAATGGGTTTCATTATCATCAAATAGTAGGTTCTACACTAGGCAAAACTGTTGAGCATTTTCAGTGAAAGGATCCCCTTCAAAGAGCATTTAATCATTACTATGAAACTGAATTAAGTCAATATACCTATAAGCTATTTATTATCCTTAGATATTCTTTGGATATCATTTTTGGCAGTAGGCAAATATTTTTATTAATTGGTAACTAAAAAACTCTAGTAAAGAAAAATCTTAACCCTTATGAATATTAATAGCAAATGAAGGGCTGAGGGCTATATTAAGTTGAAATGTATTTATATATATATGTGTCTGTGTGTGTATATATATATATATATATAAAGCCTGCAGAGCCTCCCTTGCCCCATTCTGAACCTATTTTTAAACCTTCAAGTGCCTAATGATTACTGAGAGTTCTGTATATTCATTGATGTGCTTCTCACAGCATTGGTATTCTCATATTGTAGCATGGTAATGTCT